GTCCCTCTCATCCGGAAACTGACCCAGAATAGCGTTTGACCAAATGTCTGGGCACCCTGTTGCCCAGTCACATGGACACATAAAATTAACCATCACAATATGACAAGGTGGCAATAATGGTACTGTCCTAACTCTAGACAGCATCTACAGGCTGAGACTTGATCTGGGATGCACGGTGGAACTGAGACTTGTTCTACCTGCCCTCTTCCAGGGGACCTTGGACTTCTGGCCTCCAAAAGGCACTCACTGAGAAATGCGGTCCACCCTGGGCCCACCCAAGGCAGACCATCTTCCTGGATGGCAAAGGAAGGGCGGAGGCCAGCACCCTAGGGGGTCCTTCTCTCAAAGGCACCTGCATAGGCCAGGGCAGCACGTGGCCACTTTTACCAGTGCTACGGAAGAACATGCCTGCCCATGGTCCCCACTGAGCTTGGGCTGAAACAGCATGCACCCACCAAGTCCTCCCATAGTTATCAGCCAGGCTCCTTGAGTGATCTTCATTTAGAAGTGGAGAGTGTCACTCTAGGGGCCCAGAAAGCCCAATAAAAAATGTTTCCAGGCCGGGCGCGGTGGCTCACGCCTGTAATCCTAGCACTCTGGGAGGCCGAAGCGGGCGGATTGCTCGAGGTCAGGAGTTCGAAACCAGCCTGAGCAAGAGCGAGACCCTATCTCTACTATAAATAGAAAGAAATTAATTGGCCAACTCATATATAGAGAAAAAATTAGCCGGGCATGGTGGCACATGCCTGTAGTCCCAGCTACTTGGGAGGCTGAGGCAGAAGAATTGCTTGAGCCCAGGAGTTTGAGGTTGCTGTGAGCTAGGCTGACGCCACGGCACTCACCCTAGCCTAGGCAACAAAGCGAGACTCTGTCTCAAAAAAAAAAAAAAAAAATGTTTCTAGAAGTAAACAATGACCCTAGTATTAAGCCATAAACTTCCCTTTCAGTATTGCCCACTGTGGCCTACACTCAAATTCTTAAACTTCTGTAGAATTATTTTAACATTCAGATTCTCAGATTCCACCCTCAGAGTTTGGTCCTTGCTAGGTCTCAAGCATGGCCCAGAAACCTGCATGCTTAACCAGCACCCTGTGATTCCTAGGAGAAGCACTGCTTTAGGCCTTACCACACCTAGGAAACAGTCACCAAAATTCCTTTTCATGGAGCAAATTCTATCGAAGTGTATTAGAATCCCCCACGTTCTCAAATAAGCTACACTAGAGAAGCCAGACACACAAAAAAGTGAATCCTGTTTGATACGATTTCTACAAAGTCCTACAACAGGCAAAATTATAGTGATAGAATTCAGTGGTTGCCTGGGAAAGGGCATAGGGGAGAACTTTCTGAAAAGAAGGAAATATTCTATATTTTAACTTGGTGGTGATTATCACTCAATATATGCATTTGTCAAAAGTCATTGATGTGTGCCCTTAAAATGAATTTCATTGTATGCAAATTATACCTCGATGAAGTCATTCTGAAAAGTTATCACATCTCAGAAAATAAAATTGATATTTCATATTTTTTTTAAAAAATCAATTTTACATGACATCACTAACGATTACATCTATGAGAGCATGCATAAAACTCGGTGCTTCATTTATCTATCAGGTACTTGCTGGCCAGCAACAAGTCAATATTTTATTTGTATACTACTCATGCTCTCGCTTCATACAGGCTCAGGCCTTCGTGAGGACTGCTGGGAAAAGAACCGCAGGGAATGGCCTGCTTGCAAGGAGCTCCATTTTTAGGATGTCCCTGCATGCGTGCTCCACGTCCACCCTGCCTACTCTCCTCTGGATGGAAAAACACACACGCGTGCACACACACACATGCACACACTGCCTCCTCAGCGAGAAGGAAACGCACGGTGCCAAAACATAAGCTCCACAAGCTCTGCCACCCTGAGACCCCTCAGAAATCACCATGGAGCCAGCGGGTCACACCTCAAGGGACTGCCCCACACATGGTACACTGCTAGCCAGGAGTGCCCCAGGTCAACAGGAAACTCCAGAGGGGGCAGAGCTGTGGCTTTGACCTCAGAAATCTGTTGTGCTCGGAATGTGTGTGGCCTGAGGACCTTTGGTGACGTGTCCCCAAAAGGAGGCTGTGCTTTCTCAGCGGCCTCCGATAGAAAGCCCTCTGGCAGGGGCCCTGGGTTCTAGCCCCTGTTCAGCCAATTGACTCACAGGGTCACCTCACCATGGGCAATCATGACCCCTCTTGGGGCCTAAGTCTACACATCTGTAAAATGTGGGACTGAATGAGTAATTACCAATTACTATTTGACTCAAGACCCCATTCTTTAAATAAAACCCCCTACAGAGCCCCAGTGTAAGGAGAAATGGAGAGGATCTATGATTGAAAATGAGATTCGGGGGCCCATGCCTCTTATCTCCCTCTGTTCTACTCAGAGGACCCCTAAGGCTCTTGAGAATCGTTTGAAAACTACTAGTCCTGCTCAGCTCCCAATCCATGTAACTGAACTGACTTCATAGAAACTCTCTATGATGAATGACACAACCCCAGCCACCGTGACCTCAGAGTGACTGTGTTAACCCATGATCACACATGACCTGACTCAGGGAACCCCAATGTGAAATTAGACACCCCACTGAGAGCCCAAACCCCCTCTGAGAACTGCCTGCCTGACCACCCCATCAACCCCCAGCCACACTGTGGCTCAGACTGTCTAGGGAAATCTTCAATCCCCTTCCCACCCCCCAATTCTGCCCTCCCTGCAAATTCACAAACACCTAGAAGTTAATTCCAAATTTAACAGGTACATCAAGGACAGTAAATTCCACTCCTAACCTTAGAGAGCGAGACTCCTTTGCCCAGGCATTCCTCCTCTCTGCTAAGACCACGACATGTGAGCAATGTCATCATCCCTGTCATTCCAGAGTGCTTATTAAGACCATGTGCCAGGTACCATACCATGTGCGTACTTCACATGGATCACATCCAATCCCACTGCCCCATGACGTGGGCAGCATCATTACCCTAGCATGCAGCTGAGCAAGACCGGGACTTGGGGTCACTAAGGGGCACAGCTGGGATTCAGGGTGGAGCCAGTGCTCACAGTCTAGGCTGCGGATGCCAAGATCACCTGTCTGAGCCTCCTCGCCTCTAAAGCAGGGATGACGATGACAATTCTCTCGTGAGTTGCTGGGATGACTAAACGGAACAGTCACATAAAAGTCCTTAGCATGCAGCAGGGCTTGGTATGGACATGGTAACTCAATAAAAGGTTG